ATTTTGTGTTCACCTATTAATAGTTAAAATAGTAAAAGGTTAGTTTGCAAAATAAATCACAAATTATATAAAAATATAAACAACCTTCGGGCCTCATCCTGTTTTTTTATTATTATTCGCATTTAATGTCGTCTCATCATGTGTTATTACACAATGTCGCTTTTGTTCAGAAGAAATATCTTTCTTTACGAACTTAGAGAGATTTTTGTCATCATATTCAACAAGAACGGGCTCCAATTCCTTCATCATCAGCAAAAAAATTGTTTGTCTATATTGCACCACATCCTCTCGTTTATGTCCATCTATATATATATCTTTTTTCTATTCTTTACAATGCTAGCCCAGTTTTTTAAGCCATCTCTATGCCATTTTCTCACATATAGTTTTCTTTCTTTCAATACCTAAAGACGGAAATACTTCATTCTCTACGTAATTTTTCAGAATTTTAGAATTCACACTAAACTTATGACTTCTAAGATATGATATTATCTGTTCAAAGTGTAACTAATGTAAATTACAAGAAATTAACACATGCACAAAATCGTTATAAAAACATGTATACCTTCATGGATATTCTCTCATCATCAAGAAGGCTTGATACTTTTGTGAATTTACCATGGTTCTCTTTTGGAAGTTTTCGCCATTTTATCCAATTTTGAGCCCATGCGGCAATATATTGTGCTTTATAATCTCCCCATCCTAATGAACTGGCAATCATCGTGCTTGCACTTATTCTAGTCTGACCCTGGTACCTTAATCGTAAATATTGCAATGACGCTTGCAGACGAACCCTTACACCTTTATCCATTTGATTGTCATCCTTTTTTAATGTCCTCTCCAACTCCTCAATTGCCAACCTCATTTTCGTTCTCTCATCAAGATCAATTTCTGCAAATAAATCTGCTGTTGATTCCACTTCTATCAATTCCATTTCTGCTGATTCCACTTCTATCAATTCCATTTCTGCTGATTCCACCCCTATTGATTCCACCTCGATTGATTCCATCTCTATTGATTCTGTAGATGATTTGAAAGTAGAAGTCGTTAAGGCAGGAGCTAAGTAAGTAGTGATTGACCGGGTATTTTGTGCAGCCTTCCTTAGCTCCACTTTTTTATGTCTTTGAGTTCTTTTGAAACCTCCAATGTAAGTTGAAGACCTACCCGAAGGTTTTCAGATATTTTTATTTTTACTAGCCATTAATAAAACAGCAAAGTAATTAGAAGCTCTTTCATCAATTTTATGATCTGACCAAATATGATCATCAAGATTTTCATAATCTGACATGTTATTTGGTTCAAATGCATACAATTTCTTTGTACGCTTCTTGGCTCTAGC